GATTTCCAAATTCTAATAACAAATAATAACACCATAAGTTCAGAGAAAAATGAGAGGGTATGCATCTATAGATAAAATAAAGTTGGGTAATCTTGGTTATAAAAACTAAAATTCAATTTTCAAAGATTGAGATTACAGAATGTCAAATCCAACATGGAACAAGAAGAAAAATCAATGATCCAAATAACTTGATAACTAGATATTACTCTTCGTGGTGAGTTTCACTTGAGAAAGTGCTTCTATTGAAACATATATAATCAATGGACCAAACAACCCGATAATTGGATATGTGAATTTATCCACTACGTTCAATCCAAAATCCATGATCTTCAATGTTTAATCTTTGTTTTTACTCAAGAACAACCAATTTTTTTAATTCTATATCCTTATGAATCACTGTTAACCTCTGCATCCTACATAATCTATCACACCACTTCCACCACGCCAGCATCCAAGTACCTCATTTCCACAATGACCCGATCGAATAACTCACTGTCGAATAGAGCTCCAATACTCAGCGATGAAACATCTCAATGATCTTTCGCATCACTAGGATTTTGTTGGTCAACAACGCGACGGAGTTGGAAACATGGTACTATATCGTCAATATTGTCACCATTGAAGAAGCTCTAGTTTTCTCGGCTTGAGGCAATAGCGTCTCCATGGTGGTGAATCTTTTCAGAGTTTTAATGGCGAAATGTCTGCATTTTTCATGATCTTCATTACTTCTTTTTATACATTTTATTACAATTGAGAACCCACATAATTTTTAAATAATTACAACTAATAATTAGAAACAATAAGACTATTGCAATGAAGCAAAGATAACTGAAGAAGAAGAAGCAGGGAGAAGATGAGCAATTTTGGGGTTGGGGAGAAAAATATTAAAAAACAGTAAATTGAAATGTTGTCTCTAAACTAGTTTGACTTTAAAAAAACATAGTCAGTATTTTGTCTAAAATTTAGTGGTTAAAATAAAACTTAAACCATTTTACTAGCTGGTCACGTCATCAAACTGACGGCATTCAACATCCAAGTGACCAAAACTTAATAAAACGATAACATGTGTGATCAAAACTTAATAAAAAAAATAACGTAAGTGATAAAAACTTATGTTTTTTTAAATTTAGTGAGCAAAAGTGTATAAATATGAAAGGAAAGTGACCAAAACTTAATCCATGTATTACCTACGTGAAAATGATGTAATTTTAATTTTATATATTTATCGTATCACATTAGCAAACCGTTAAAGGTTGAACGGATGTTAACCGTTAAAGGTTGAACGGATGTTAACCTTTAGTGACCACATCTTAATTAAAACGAAACGAAAGTGACTAGATCTTATATTTTTTTTAATTCAATGAGAAAAAACTTATAAAACTCAAACGAAAGTAACTATTTATGTAGTTTATCTTTAAAAAAATTATCCTAACACGACTAAAATTGCACTTGTCTAAGAGGTATCAATACTTGGTTTTAATTATTGATACTTTATGCCAAATACTGATACCCAAGATCAAATATCAATTATAATCAATATTTTTTGGTTTGTATCATAATTTAATCCTTTAAACTTATTTTTTTTATCTTGATCCTTAATAGTTCAACTAAAGTAATTGAATTCTAATTTTTGAAATAATTCACGAAATAATGATTCTAAGACATAATCTAGCATTCTCACCCGCAATATCAACTCTATCGATGGTTGACGCTGCCCTGTTAAAAATTTACGAGTTACACAAACAAATATATATGGTAGAGATTTCCTAGTCTCCCCTGCATTTAACTTCGGTCCTAATTACTTAGTTAAGATCTGTAGAATTTATTAATTCAATTAGTCATAACGAATAAAGTCAAAATTAGCCTTTAATGTTTATCAAAATTGCCAATTTGATTCCTAACTTTTTGAAGTATTTTAGCCACTAAAATTTCATTTTGGGGAAAATCTATGCATGAAATTGTTAGTTAACACATGACTAATGTTAAAAAATAGAGGCTTTTAACCCAAAATGAAAAGTTGTGGCCTAAAATGCTCCAAGAAAAAAGAACAAGGGCCAAAGTGACTATTATGTCAAACGTTAGTACCTTTTTACTATAAAAACGTTGAGATGTAAAATACTTCAAAAAAATATAAGAGTCAAAATAATCATTCTAAAAAATGTTTGGAACTAATTTTAACATTATATATAATCAATAAATTACATTACTATTGCTATTTATTCAGTTTGAATTCCAATCGACAATTATCAAAGATACTGATAAGAAAATTTATTGATCATCAAATTCAATGAGATTCAAATATTGAATATTTAATTTATAAAATTCAAGACGGTGGGAAATTATTAAATATTGAAAAAAATACAATAATTTAAAGAAGTTTTAAAACTTAATTAAATCTTAAACATAAAATATAATTATAATGATTGTGAATGAAACAAATTGATTGGATACCAATAACTAATTTAAAAACAAAATAATCGATTATTCTTTCTACATGAATGACATATATTACTCTTATAAAGGTTTATTTAGCTACCTCAACGGAAAATATTTAATAATTCTATTAAACTATTAAGTAATCCTAATAATAAGGGAGAATAATGATCTCTTTAGTAGTTCTAAGTTCTAGCATCAGTATTTATTGTACCTTATTAAAAAAAATTCTTATTTTTGAAAATATAAAATTGGGATCTAAAATTTTAATAAATTAAAAGGATTATAAAAAATATTATTAAATTTTCAGGTACTTAGATTTAATAGTACAATTTCTTACAAGGAATTAATTGATTTAATGATTTTTTACGAGTTTTTTTATTAATCCAAAATGAAATTATTCAATTAATGCGGTATAATGTATATTTGACACGTTTTTCAACTGTATCCGTACTAAATTAAACCACGTTTGATCAACCTGCCCTTCATGTCCATATATTATATAATTAATATATTTCTTATAAAATAAAACCCTAAATAAAGCTGCCGCCGACGCCAGTGTGGACCTTTGCGTTTGTATTTCATGTCATTGGACAAATATTATATATATATATATATATATATATATAAAATTAAAATACCTCTTGTTATTCAACATTGAATCATTGATCCTATCTTACTAGTAACTCAATCTCAAAATATTTGTCATCATTCAATCTATATTAAAAAATAAAATATATAAATAATTATTAAATTTTGGTAAAATAAAAAATTATTAATCATTAAAATATTAAAATATTTATAAAACATTCATTAAAATTTTTAAACGATTAAAAGATATCATTAAATTTTACTAAATTACTATAAAATAATCATTAAATTTATTGAATTGTTAAAAAAATCATTAAATTTATCATTATTTTATAATATATAAATTTATTTTCTTACAGTTTTATAAAGTAATAATTAATTTATAATTTTCAATAACGAAAAAAATAATTTTGGCATAATTAATAATTATTGTTGTACTTTTACCCTAAAATTATCATAAATTGATAATAATTCTTGTTAGTAAGCGAAGATCATATGTTATTAGTATCTCAATCTCAACCTCAACCTCAAAGTATTTACCATCATTCAACCGATAATAAAATATAGAAAATTGAAACAAAATTAAAATATTTGATGACCCTTTTCTTTGTTACATCAACGAACTCCCATATTTTATACACTTTATAGAAGTATAAAATATTAGAGTTGAGGATTAGTTCAAAGGAGTTGATCTTTCCTCATTGGATAAACTATTTTTTCCATAGAAGAAAAATGCTTTAAACATGCTTTAAATATTATTTGTTTCCATATTAAATCCTCGCACGTCTGCTTTCACCCCATTAACAAACATGTTAAGTTGGGAAAAGTTTGGAAAATAGTAATCTATCAATGATTAGATTAAAATATTTAAATTAAAAAATAAGGAATTTTTATGGGTAAAGTATACATATAGTATCCTGATTATAGGATGTTATTTTTATCGAGTCCTCTAACTATTAAAAGTTACAAAATTGTCTCTAACTACAGGGTGTTGCTGTGTTGAGTCCTTCAACTGTTAAAAGTTACAAAATGGTCACCCAACAATTCATATGTTCCAAACTATCATCTTTTATTAAAAAATTGGTGACGGCCACAGTTGGATGTTAACCTATTGATTGAGATATAATGATCATTTGAGATTTCGAAATCACATTTTATCATATCACAGTCTGCAGGCTAACATCCAACTTAAACTGCCATCAATTTTTAATAGAAAATGACAATTTGGATCATATGAATAGTCGAGTAACCATTTTGTAACTTTTAATAGTCGAGTGAGTCAACAAAACAACACCCTATAGTTAGGGGACCTTTTAGTAACTTTTAATAGTCGGGGGATTCAATAAAATATCACCCTATAATTGAGGGACAAATTATGTACTTTATACAATTTTCATTTTCAACTTATTTAGTAAAGAGACTGGATTCTATATTCAATTATAGGGACCTATGACAATTTAATCATTAATAAAACAATAAATCCAATTATATAATATAAACTTTTTTTTTAGTTTTATAGAGATTTAGGCCGATTTGATTAGTGAAAATAAATGACCGAGAATAGCTCTTATTTATTTTATTCCAGTGAATATTTTCTCATTTCTCACTATTATATTTTTTTTAGTTTTACACATATTTAGAACCGTTGAATGGATGAGTGGAAATAGATAAATAAGATAACTTATTATTCTTTCTAGTAAATATTTTATTATTTTCTAATGTAAATCTTAGTTGTCGATTTTCACTCATCTGTTTTAAATAAAATTTTACAGTGGGTTGAAACCTATCTTCTATATATATATATTAAATTTGAGTGAGAAATTCGAATTTTTCTTCTACTTGTTATTCCCATTATTTTATAGGAGTCCGCCACCGTCACATTGCTTTGTTTATATACAAAATAGAAGTTACAACTCAGTCCTTAACAGCATATATAAGGTGTGGCCGGCCTTCCTCATAGTGAAGCTTAACTCACCTCAACTTTCTCATCTTTGTTTGAAAATTTAGATGGCTAAGGTTCATCCAGCTGAAGCACACGTTTCCGATGCCTGCAGCATGAGCTCTGCAGGAAGGATAACTTTCACCATATGGATGAAATCCCTTGTGTGCCACACCAATGGCTGCACCGTCTTTGATTTGAAAGGCCGGATCGTGTATCGTGTTGAAAACTACGACACCAGAGGTAGCAGTGAAGTTCATCTCATGGACCTCAATGGCCAAATTCTGTTCACAATTCTAAAAAAGGTAATTTACAGATGCAACTACATAAACCTTTGAAATTATTTGGAAAGATTAAATGCTAATGAATGAATCTTTGTCTCCTTTTTTTTCTCGAAGAAACTACATATTCTTGGATGTTGGAATGGATATAGAGGGAACTTTACTGGAAGAAAGAAGGAAAACCCTAGCTTCCAAGTCAAGAAATACTGCAGAATTCTCCGGAGAGTTTTGGTTTGTCAAATTACAGTTGGGTTTAATAAGTACTTCATGGTTAGCTTAGGGCGCAAGAAACAAGGATTTAAGATTGTAAACTCGGGTGGAGATATTGTAGCGGAGGTAATTTAACTGACTCCTTAAAACCAATAAATTCCTATGATTATAATAGAAAAAGAAGTTAATTATAGCATCAATCGAGAATTTAAATTGTGGTTGCGGTCGAGTTTTCAATTGTATTGCTTTTATCACTATTACGGTAATTACGAGTATCGCGGTCATGCATTAACGGTATCGGACGTCACTACTACCTTTATATAGCATATGCTATTCCGATAGCAGACCGCTATTTAAATCACTATCGATGGTAATCTGACATGATTAATTAACATGGCATTGCAGGTGAAGCAGAAGCAATTGTCATCTGGAATGGTATTGGGGGATGATGTATTAAGTCTGGAGATAGAACCCTATATTGATCAAACCCTAATTGTTGCTCTCGTTACTGTTCATGGATTAATGAATAGGAGATTGTAGATAATTGGTTTTGATTTCAGATTTTATTAGAATTGCAGCAAAAACATAGAACTAGATAGGAAGAGAATTGTATAGAAAAAATATAAAATATTAGGTCGTGATTTGCTTTCAGATTTATGATCCGGTTTGATTTTTTAAAAGATATTTCTTGATGCTTTTGATTTGTGAAATCTTTGTGGTTATTAAGTTTTGAATTACTCTTTACTTCAGCTTTCAGAAGGCTCCAAAAATGTTTCAAAAATTGAAGAGATTATGTATAATATTTAACACAATATCTTTGAGGATCTTGAAGAATATATCAATTGTTGATGCAATAAAAAGAGATTACAAGAATCGAACAAGACGTGATCAGAACAATCACTCTGACCAAAGAATCTGCACGCTTTGCTGGCAAAATCGCATCCTCTGGCAACATGAAAATAGCATTATAGAAATGCAAAAGATAAAGTTTTGGATGGCCAAAATCATTAATTGTTTAATATAATTTATATGATAGTGACTGTTTTTGTTTCTCGTTCCATGTAGGATGTATTGTGGCAGATGTAGAGTTGACTTCACTTTCAGCATTATTTCCTCTCTTTTTTTAAGGTTTATATGTAAAATAAATATACATGGTAAAATTAAAAGTCAGCATTATTTCCTCTCTTTTTTTAAGGTTTATATGTAAAATAAATATACATGGTAAAATTAAAGTCGTCAAGCACCTAGCACTAATCAAGTGATATCGATAATTAAAAGAGATAATTATTATTTTTAGTGGATTTAAGTTCGATAATATTATCTACAATGATGTTTAAATATTTATTGTTAAATAATTAAAATCTTTCAAGCAAATATTATCTTATGACCATTTTATAATTAAAACGATTTCAACAAATTTTTTGCCTATCTATTTTTATATTGTAATCTTTTTAGAGGATAAACATAAAACGATTTTTATATTTATTTTTGTCCTGGTTTGATATATAACTAAGGTAAACATGTATTTTTTTTCATGAAATAAACCCTAACATCTATTACCTTTTTCCTTATCTATATGTTTTCCTCATTTTATTTCGCCTTTTTCACTTACTAAAAGCTTCATCATTAATTTTCATTTTAATCACAAATCTCTTTAAAATTCTTTTTTTATTCGTTCAATCCCAACTATCTCCAACTGCTTAAAAGATTCTGGTTATTGCTCTTTAATTTTACTCGTAAATATCATCTTTTGTTTTTTTATGATTATTTTTATCATAATTTTGTAGTTACTATTTTCATATAAAATTTAATGAATTCATTTGATTTTGAATTTCTTAGTTTGCCTAATTTGTAATTATTCTTTTAGAGAGTGTGTATTCAAGGTTTTTGGGTATAAACCTTGAAGTGTTTGTTAGATTATATATGGTCCATAAAGGTGAGCAAATATAGTGGATTTGATATATCTTTAGTGTGGATGCTAAGGTAGTGGATGTAGATTTTGGTAGATAAAGTCGAACCACTCTAAATCGTTGTGCAAAAGTTTTATTTTTCGATTGCTTCCACTCCAAAATTTTAAAAGGTTATTTCACTCCCTCTTGACATATTTTGGTTGATTATAAGAGCTAACGGATTTTTTTCTCAAAATCATTTAATTTTTTGTTTTCAATTCATTAACTTTTCATTTAAGTTTACTATTAGACTTAGAAAGTGAGTAATTTTCAATTTTTAATTTTGAATGAATATTTTTATGTTTTGAAATCATAATTTCACATTCTATAACTAATTCATCATAGACATCTTGCAACTAATCAAATTTATATGAGTTAGAATCGGATGAGTTAGAAAAGACATTTGAATCTTCTTGGATAGACATAAGACAAAGGTTGGCTAATTCATCATCTTCATGATGGCGATATCCTGATCACTCCAAGAAGCAACAAAAATACTTCTTCTTTGGCATGCTTGCTCCCTTCTTCTTTTAATTAAGGACAATCGTACTTGACATGTCCCAATTTTTTACATTTGTAGCATATGATTAGGGGTGCTTATCAAATGAGTCGATCGCGAGTTGGGTAGTGCTTGACTCGTGCTCATTAAAAACATTTGTTGCTCTACTCGACTCGTTGCCCGTTAAGCTCGTTAAAATTTTGCTCGACTCGTGCTTGTTAAGAAAATTTATTGCTCGACTCATTGCTCATTAAGCTCGTAGCTCGCCTCATTGCTCGTTAAGCTCACCGATTTTTTATTTTATTTTAGTTTTACAATAAATAAAGTCTACTAATACTATATAGAACTTAATATAAACATAAATTAATAAATTTAACCATAAAATTATCAAAACAATGTATAAAACAAATTCAAAGTTTAAACACCAAAATAACAATCCATAAATACATTAAAATAATAATTAGGGTTTACTTTTTGGGTGTAGTAAAATAAATAGTTATTAATTTAGTATTTTGAATTATTTATTAAAATATTAATAGATTAGTCATTTATTATCTTTTTGTATTATCTATTAGTAAATTAGTAATTTTTTGAATGAAATAATTTTTAAGATAACTATTGAAAATTTATTAAAAAATTAATGAGTTTCTCGGAACTTATCGAGTCGAGTTGGACTTTGCTCAACTCAGCTCGTTAAGGTCTTGAGTCGAGCTCGAGTTTAAGTCGATTCAAGCCAAGTCGAGCTTTTATTGAGTTTTGACTGAATCGAGTTCGAGCTGCTTAACTCATTAAGCACCCCTACATATAATGAGATTCTTCTCCTTTTTGAATTTATGCTTCACTATTTTTTTTTAGATGACATGAAACACTTTAATCTTTTTAAAAACTTGGTCATCTCTTCTTCATCATCCACCTCTTTACTAGAGCATCTTCAACGTCATTCATGGACTTAAAAGGAATGTCAACATTATTTTTCTTTTTTTCTCCTTTCTCCTTTCTTTTTTCTTTTTTATTTTATTTTGAAGTCTCATATCATGAGTGAGCAAAGAGCCAATAAACTCATCAAGAGTGAGAGTCTACAAATTATTAGTTTCTTTAATGACGATTCTCTTTCTTTTCCAATTTATTGGTAAGGAAGAGAACGTATTTCTCACTATCCTTCATTGGTATATGCCTTCCCAAATGACTTAAGCCCATTAATGATGGTGGTAAATCGATCAAACATTATCTTTATGCTTTTATTGGGCTTCGTCTCAAAATTTTCACAGTTAAGAGTAAGAATGCCAACATAAGATTTCTTCACTTGACATGTTCTTTCATGAGTCACCTCCAACTTTTCCTAAATATCATTTGCATTTTAATAAGAGGATACTCTACTATATATACTAGGTCCAACTGTACAAAAGAGAATGTACATGGCCTTAGCATTGAGTTGAAAAAATCTTCAATCTTCATCAGTCCACTATGATTTGCTCTTCAGTACAAGAATCTCTCCTTATCTCTTCGAGGGAATTGATGAGCCATCAATTATGACATCCCAAATTAAGTAATCGATAGCTTAAACGAACAACATCACCTTATTCTTCCAATAGGAGTAGTTGGAACCATTGAAATAAGGAGTTCTTATGATTGATTGAGAATCTTCAACATAGTAGGAACCTAAAGTTGAAGTCATTTTTATCACTTGAACGTAGAAGTTGATAGAGCTCTTCTAGAACCTTCTCAAGGTTATTAAATTGTCGATTAAGACTCGCTCTAATATCAATTGTTAGCTATTACAAACAATCGAAATATTCTAATATGGGGTGAATTAGCCTTTTAAAATTTTGATGTGGGATCAAACAAAAATAGAAATTTTTGCACAACGATTTTAGAGTGGTTAGAATTCTAACCCAAGTTCACATTCACTACATTAGAATCTACACTAAAGATTTTTCAAATCCACTAGATTTACTATCATTTGAGGACAAGGCGTAAACTAAAAACAACTCACGAGGTTTATACCACAAAAACATGTTTACACTCTCTCCACGAGAAGAATTTACAATTTTAGCAAACAAAGAGAAAATCTCACAAGGAAAATATGTTTGCACAATTTATCTATCACCTAAATCACACTTGAGCAAATTAAACAATGTAGCTCACAAGTGTGTTACAAAGAATATAACAAAATTAAGCACAAAAGACTTCTTTGATATTGGTATATTAGTGCAATATGGTTCTTGTTGTCCTTAACATAGTTTGACCTTGAATTTATACATTTTCTCTAAATTCTAGCCATTTGGAGCCATTGGAGATCATTATAGCCATTACCTACAGCCAAAAACAACATTTAATTCAAAATATATCGATTATTTTTCAAATAATTCGAACGTTGCAAGAAAGAGATTGATTCTTAAAGGGAATGGATCAATCTTTTTCATCAAGGGGTCGATCCTTTTGGTGAAGGGATCAATCCATGGCTACTGGAATCCAAGGGATCGATATTTTTTTCAAAAGGATCGATCCTTTGGTCAAAGAGATCAATCATTTTTCATGGGGATCGATCTTTTGAGCCAAAATACCTTGGAAACTCAACTTTAAGTGAAAAAATGATCAAGTACATTTTTGAAAAGGTTCTCTAAGTTGAAAAACATTTGGACTTTGAATTTTTTTTATGAAGTTTTGACCAATTTCGTTAAGTCTAAAATCAATTTTACATTTAATTTGCTATACCAAAATTTCAATTCAACACAAAAGAAAAAGCCTTTTGTGGCTACTTGGAGTGATGAAGATGTCTCCAACGATGAAGATGATGAATTAGTCAATCTTCGCCTCATGGCTATCCAAGAAGATTCAATGGTATTGTAACACTCATTTCCCGTATTCGTTAATGAACACGAGTCAGAGATGTCATATAATACTTGTAAAATATTTTTATTTAAAAATCGGTAAAAAACTTTTCTTTTAAAATCATTAAATTTAACATTAAAGGGTTTCTATATTTTATAATTGTAACATTTACAAGTGATGAGTATATATAGGATTTAGAGGAAACCTAATTAAAAAAAGATAAGGAAAGTTAAAGTTTTACAAAATGTAAAGTTTATACAAGGTAAAATTGGATTGAATAAGATTAGATTGGAT